CGATGAAAGGCATGTAGACTTGTGGTCACCAGAGACTGGGTGGAGAGGGAATGGAGAGTGGCTGCTAAAGGTATAGGGATTCCTTTTGGGTTACGAAAGTGTTCTAGAATTAGATAATGGAGATGGTTGCACAACCTTGTGATTATATTAAAAACACCAAATTGTACACTTTAAAGAGGTGAATTTTATGGTATACGAATTATAATTCAATTTTAAAAAGTTAGACACAATATTACTTATAACAGCATTTAGTAAAGCAGCATGCTGAGTAAATCTCTGCTTCATATGAGTCTGAGTTGCCAATCCAAACCTTTTTATTATCTCTATGATATGTCAAGGGAAACCTGTGGCTTTAAATAATTATATTAGAAAGGGAAAAAAGTTGGAAATTAGTGATCTAAGCATCCAAAGTAAGAACATGGGGGAAAACAAAGCCAAACAAAGTAGAAGGAAGAGAAGGGAGTAATAATATCTGAAATTAATAAAATAGAAAGCAAATCAACAGGAAAAACCATAGAGAGAATTTAAAAGGTCAGAAATTACTACTTTGAAAAATTCAGCACAAATGGCAAAATTGAGCAAGACAAAAGAGAAGAAATCGAAGAATCAAATACAACCTAATTAATGTAAAGGAGGAATGACTACATGTAAAGAAAGACAAAAATAAAAGATATTATCAACAATATTGTATTGGTACATTTAAAATTCAACCAAAAGAACAAATTTTTAAAAGAAAAAATTATAACTTGCCAATAGCGAATTAAGAATAAATAGAAAGCCTAAATAGTTGTTTAACCAATAAATAATTTGTATCAATAGTTTAATATCTCCCTAAAAATTTAAACGTAAATTCAGCCAAACATTCAAGAAAAATAATTAAAATATTACATTATTTATTTTAGAGAATAGAAAATGAAGAAACAGTCTCCAATTCAATAGAGGTTGTAAACACCTTGCTACCAAAACCAGACAAGAAAACTTAAAGGCTAATGTTACTAAAGAGCATAGACAGAAAAATTCTAAATAAATAACTGTCAAAATAAATCCCAACAATATAGTAAAAAAAAAATAAAACAAGTCTATCCCAGGAAAAAAAGTTTAACAATTGAAAATCCATTTACGCAACTCATTAAATTTAAGGATTAAAGAATAAAGAAGAAAAATTTAACAGCAGAAAAATTTCAATAGATATAGAAAAAGCATTCATAAAATTCAATACATGGTCACAATTTGTAGTAAATTATACAAAATGATCTCTAAAAACTAATATTTAATCGTGAAACATTTAAAGTCTCATTTTAAAAATCAGGAACAGAAAAATAAAGTGTGCACATTTTTATTGCTTCCATTTAACAGAGCACTAAAGGATCTTGCCTAAGCAATAGAAGAGGGAAAATGGATAAAATCATGATTGGAAGAAAGTAAAAATCAAAACTTTTATTATTTTCAGATGGTCTAACTAATATTAGTGAATGAATAAGACAGTTACAAATTATATGAGATTAAATATATAAAACTCTATGACATATAATATTAGCATATTTATATATAATATATACAACTAAATGTGATTTGGGAGAGGTTCTTTTTCTTTTTTTTTTTTCCTGAGGAAGATTAGCCCTGAGCTAACATCTGCCAATTCTCCTCTTTTTGCTGAGGAAGACTGGCCCTGAGCTAACATCTGTGACCATTTTCCTCTACTTTATATGTGAGACACCTACCACAGCATGGCTTGCTAAGCGGTGCCATGTCCACACCTGGGATCTGAACCGGTAAACCCCCGGCCACCGAGAAGTGGAACATTTGAACTTAACCGCTGCACCACCAGCCGGCCCCATGGTTCTGTTTCTTAATGTGAGTTATGGGTGCACAGATATTCAAATTTGTCAGTATTCTTTATACTTTACATATATGTTACAGATATTTTTATATACATGAAATATTTCTTATTTCAACATATAAAGACACTACTTTGTAAAAAAAAATACAGTCTCTGCCTATTATATGGAAAAGATACATTATGAAAAACAATAAATAGAAAAATTAATGCAGTAACAGCATCTTAATACAAATGAATAAGTGATGCTGCCATGAAATGTAGTTTTGTATTTACTGAAAATATTGACTGAAAATCAAAACAGTACAGATGATAAATTTGTAAAAAGAACCTGTTAATTGCAACAGAAATTATTATCCCAGAGCTGACCATTTGTAAACAGGCGTCATCTGAAAATACTGTTGATCAGTATATGGCTGTTACTGTACAGAGCAATTTAGAAAAGTTTAATAATTTTATTCTTTATTTCAGCTAAGAGCACAGAAAAATCATCCATTTTGCTATGCTTATTTATAGTATAATAAGAAGTTTGATTTGACCCCAGTAGTTTCATGATGATTGACACAGCCTAAGGAAAGGATCTATTTTTGATGTTAAGAAAAGCATTATTATGTTGAATATCATCTGGAAGAAGTTAATAAATAAGACCTCACACTCTGTTCTTGTTATGCTAATGACAGAGTTCATGACAAACCTTTTCAAAGGTTGGTACATAATTAGGTTTGGTACATCATCCAGCAAAGATTGCTTGGAGCTTAAAAGTTTAGAATCTGCCAAGACACAGTAATAAACACTGAGGTCTGATAAATTCCTGTAGTTTGAACATACACGTCTCAATGTTTTGTTTGATGAGCTGAACATTCTCTATAAAGATTAGTTGTTTTACATAGAGGATGGGGAGCTTAGTGATGGTATGATGCCAAAGAGAAAGAAATTAACTTTAACTGATAATCACAATTTATGCTAGTATTCCAAACATTGGTTCTAACGTGTTTTAAATACAAATATCCTAACAAAGCACACTTTAAAAGACAATTTATTAACCATATTATCTTCCCAAGAGTTAGAAAATGAGACATATTTCCACTTAATATGTATTTACAGAAATAATCTATGTCATGGAACACTTACATTCCACTAAATAATCTGATATATCATTTTATCTGACTGTATATATCTTTCCATTGCGTAGACTGAAGGCAGGTGGCCTGTCATGTTTAGCATGATTAACTCTCTCCCGATGTACTACACACAAGAGCTTTTGCTTGCAAACCAGTGTTGACTGGTCACTTTCTGTTCCAAAAAAATAAGTAGACTTCGTCAGGTTACTCAGAGGGAAATCACCAGCTCAGCTATCCAAAGTCTTGGAACAAACATTAGTTTTTAATTAACAATATAATCATTCCAAAAACTTTTGATAGTTCTTTTCAAGTACTGTATTTAAACAGGAGATATGCACAAGTCTGATTTGATTATCCTATCTCTTTCCAAATTATGTCTTTGGGAAAATTGTTTTACATGAAGAACCTGGTCCATTTTGCTAATCTGAGCTTGAAGTCAATTTCCAGAAATGAAAATTTTTTGCTTAAACTTCACTATACAAACTGTGAAAAGGAAATAGCATTATTTTTTTCAATTAATATTGGTAGGGTGAATAAAGAGCAAAACCCAAAGTTATTGAAATACTCTGAAAGCAAATGTGGTCATGAGTACTAACATCCTACCCAAGATTGGTAATCCTACATGCAATCCGGTGTGCAACATCCTCAACCATGTGTGGAATTACTAAATAACTGCTAACTAAGATTGTGGTAATCTGATTGTAATAATAGTCCCAATAATTTTCTCCTCCCAGTGTTCACCGTCCTTTGCAGTGTGACTTTGCAGCATCTGCCATCAAGAGGTGGAGTCTAATCCCTTGCCCCTTGACTCTAGGCTGGTCCTGTGACTTGCCTTGGCAGATAAAATGTAGCAGGAATGATAATGTACCAGTTCTGAGCCTTGGCTGCAAGAGGCCTTGTGAGCTTCTGTTCCCTCTCTTAAGCCATGAGATCTGGCTTCCCGAGAGGTATGAGAGACAACATTGTACAGAGCTGAGTCAGCCTGGTTTTCCCAGCCAAGGCCCTAGGCCTGTGAAAGCCCAGCCCAAATAAGCGAGATCAGTAATGGTGTTTAGTTGACCTATGCCCTACAGTATACATGTGAGTGAGTCATCCTGAGCCCGCCGAGATCAGCAGAACCACCCAGCACAAGTGAGCTAAAATGAATGTTCATGATGCTGTATGACCTGCATTTTTGTGACTGGTTGTTACACAGAAATAGAGCAGCAATGGATAAGTGATACAAAGACTCTATATTGTTTCCTCTTAAAGTACTTAAGGCAAAATTCTATACCAAGGATTGACACACTTTTTCTATAAAGGTCTGTAGAGTAAAAGTTTTAGGTTTTGTGGGCCACATGAAGTCTCTGTTACATACTCCTCTTTGTTTTGTTTTTACAATCCTTTACAAATGTAAAAAGCCATTCTTAGCTTTTGGGCTGTACAAAAAGGGCTCATGTCCAGGCTTGGCCCATGGGCTGTAATTTGCTGACCTCTGTTCTATATCATGAAAGACATGATATTGCTAACCTGATGCAGAATAAAAGATGTCAGGGCTCAGGAGGCAAAGTAATGCAATAAAATCTAATACAATTTTAAAAATAGAATTATACAAGGTTTTTCCATTTTTAATTTTACATGTTTATCTTCTACAGTGTGCCAGTAAAGTTTTAATAGGCAGCTGTTGGGTGGTAGTAAATACTACCACCAATTTCAAGCAATCAATGGAGAGGAATTGAGACGAGATGTATACAATTGGCTCACATGAGCCAGTGAGAGCTGACTCCAGCACACCATTGTTATACTGCCTACCCATTGTACTGCCTATAACGTAGTTCAGTAGTAACTATAAAAGAAATTGACTATAATCTGGACAGTGGGTTTTCCTTAAACTAACTCACTCCCTCACTTACCTCACCTTCCTGGTCCCAGTAAGTTTTGATTTTGTGACCCCTGGTCCTGGAGAAGACTACTGCCTTTGCAGCTGCCTTCTTCTATGAGTGACTTGAATTGCATTTACCTATGACCTAGTTTCAAAGAAAACCACTTAAGGATAAACTTACCCTTCTTGGTTTGATCACCTCCAGTGGGAGAAGAGGAAATTGTCTCAGGCATGGTTATTTACAGTATTTTCAAACCTAATTAAAAAGAAAAATATTTAAATATCATGAATCATAATTAGTTTATATTTAATTTCACTAAAATTGTCAACTTAAGAAGTGATACTGTCAGGATAGTTTTCTAATATTACACATTACAGATACGTAAAGATCAATACTAAATCAGGTTAAAAATGTAAGAAATCCAACAATATACTCTTTTTCCCATGGGGACTACTACGATCCTATTTAGGTACAACAAATGTATAATCTTCATTAAGGAGGGATCTTTGATCCTCTGCTTTGCTGGTAGCTTAAATAGACCCCTGGCCTTACTACTAGATAATTGAGCATTCATCATTATAGCTGTTTGGGAATTCTGAAATCTATAATGTTTCATTTCGTATGATAAGCCTTGCTATCATCTCTTCTTTACTTTTCCTCAGTTCCTTTTTTAAACATTTTATTATGGAGAAAGTCAAATATATACAAAGATAGAAAGAAAAGCGTAATGGACCTCTATGTGTCCATTAACCAGTTTCCACAATTATCGACTTGTGGCCGGTCTGATTTCTATACACCCACCCACAGCCCTGTCTACTCTACACTTGATCATGACTAAGCCAATCTCTGATATCATATTATTGCATTTGTAAATATTTCAAGAATTTTCTAGACATAGCCATAATACCAATAATATAATTAAGATAATAATACTGTCTGAATATCACTAAACATATAGTCAGTGTTTACATTTCTTTCACTGTCTCATATTTTTTTCCTGTTTTTAAATTTTTTTTGGAGTAATGATACAATGTAGCATAGCATTTAACTGAAATGTCTTTTAATTCTCTTTTAACTGTGAGTTCTCCCTCCTTTTTTTCTCTGCAGTTTATCTATATAGAAATCAAATATTTTGTCCTATAGAGTTTTCCACATTGCTGACAAACTCCCTGTGCTGTATTTAACAAGTCCCTCTGTCACCTATATTTCCTATAAATTGGTATTTATTAGAAATTTAAACTACTGAATGGAAAGACAACAATTCTATAACACAGAACTAATAGCTACCTCTTATAATTTGTAGGCCTAAAGCATTATAGAGTTAAGAGATTAGAAATCATCTAGTTAAATTTTTTTATTTCACAAATCGGGAACTCCTGATTGAAATTAGTAACTTTATTCAGGGCAAAAAACTACTTGGGGATGAGTGCTATGAAAGAAAACCTGATTCTAAGTCCAGTGCTCTTTCAAATAAATCCATCTACTTCATCAAGACCAATTTATGAAAGGAAAGGAAGCTATAGAAAAGCGCATAATTAAATTTTACTATATATCACCATTTAAATTTTTTAAATTCAGTGAAGATTACAGTTGAAACACGAAATGCTATTTCCTCTTCTGTACAAAATTACTGGAAAAATATAACAAGAAGAAAATGAATTGTTCTAGTAATGTAGAACTGAGTATATTGGAAAATCCTTTTACAAACTACTACTAACAAAAATCTGGTTAAAACATATTTTTTTAAATCTTCATAAAACCCTCTGAGAACTAAGAAGGTAATGATGAATACCCAGGTCAAGATCTGTAGAAGTCACAAATCCACAGAGATTAGATCAACATGTAAGGTCACTTTTCCCAGGGGCAATATCTGACCTGGGAGAGGCAGCTGAGCGGCTATGCAGTACTTGCGACAGCCACATAAACCTTTGGAAACAAAAGATGGAATCCAAACTCTGCCAAATGTAGGTGCACTGGAAATGAACTCCTTCCTGGGATCGAGACCCCAGAAGTCTATATCCTAAGGAACAGAATGAAACAGAAATAAAGTCTCTGTGAAGACTGCCCATAGACTGAAGTCCAGCTTCAAATTGTCTGGGTGACGCAAAATCTCATGTGATGAAAGTGAGTTAGGGTGATTCTTGCCCAGCACATAGCCCAAAGTAACCCAATACATAAGAGACTAGATAACAGAAATGGACAGAAAAGGAAAGATAACAGAAATTCACGCAAAGGTACTCCAAATAGTAAAATGACCAGATATAAATCACCTAACAACGATTTTTAACATGTTTATAGATATAACATCAAATTTTAAAATTTCAGAACTAAAAACTATGAAAATTCATATTGTGGATCAGAAAAGTCAGTTATAAATCATGAAATGCAAACTGCTGTAACTGCAATTCCAAACTCACCCGTTCAATTTAAAAGCAGATAAGACAAGGCTGAAGAAAGAATTAGTAAAACAAGTTCAGAAAAAAACCATCTTGAATGAAGCATGCAGTGATAAAAGGATGGAAAATACAGAAGCAAACAAAATTCAATGCTCTCAATCTCCACTTTCAGGAATATGGAGTGGGTGTACTTAGCCCTATTCCTTCCCCTAAGTAAAACAAAAAACCCTAGATATTATATGTAAAACAAAGATAAGACGATTTTGAAAGGTGGAGAGAAGAAGGCAGACTAGCTAGGCACCCTGGGACCAGAGGAACACTGAGGCGGTGAGTTTCCAAGAATTTTTTCGTGCCGCATATATCCCACATTTGAAGCTGAAGAAACCAGCAACCCAGAAATGCCAGTGGGTGCAGACAAAATAAAGCTCTGACGGAACCCTGCTCTTTCTAGCCGAGGGATCAAGAAGGGGGCAGCTTAGCAAGAGAAAATACATTTAGACAATAACCTCTCCACTGCAGCCAAATACCACAGAAAAAACTGTGACCCCACAAAGACAGAGTGACAAGGCTAGACTATTTCCACCTGACTAGGTTGTAATGAGGCACCCCAAATTTCCTGCCGGGGTGATGTCAGAGGAGGCCAAGTAGAAATCCAGGACTTTCATCCCCACAAGGTGGAGTCAAGCCACCCCACTCTCATTGTCTGTGGACACTATGGGGGGAGCCTGGACTTCCACACCTCCCAATAGCGGTAAGGAGCTACCTCTTCTCTGAGGACAGTGTCTCTTCACTGGGGCAGTGTCAGAGCAAGCTTACTGGCGAGTTGCAGCTTTTACTACAACCCAGAAGGAATGAGGCCATGCCTTCTGCATGATGTCAATAGGCCACACAGGAAGGAATAACTAAGCACTCGTACCCATCCCAGCTAGGGAGGTATCAGTAGAGACCTAGTGAGTAACTGGAACTCCCACTCCTGCCCAACAATAAGAAGTGCAAATTAAAACAACAATGAGATATCTATACACCTATCAGAATTGCTAAAATAAAAAATAGTTGTAACGCCAATTGGCGGCAAGGATTCAGAGAAACTGTGTCACTCATACATTGCTGGTTAGAACATAAAATGATACAACTACTCTGGAAAATAGTTTGGCAGTTCCTTTCAAAATTAAAAATAGACTTGCCAATATGACCCAGCAGCGGAACATACATCCCAAAGAAATGAACTGGAATGAACTTATTTTCATTCAGAAATTTGTACATGAATATTAGGATCTTTGTTCATAACAGCCAAAACCTGCACACTACCCAAATGCCCTTGGATGAGTGAAAGGTTAAACAAATTGTGGTACATTATACCATGGAATACTGTCCTGCAATAAAAAGGAACAGACTAGTGATACATACAACAACTTGGATTAACCACAAATTAATTACCCTGGGTGAAAAAAAGCCAATCTCAAAAGGATATATATTGCAGGATTCCATTATATTCATGAAATAATGTAATTATAGAGATGGAGGACTGATCAGTGATTGCCTAGGGTTAGAGGTAAGAGAGGTGTAACATCAGGGAGTGTTGTGCTGACGTACAATTAAGTGTCTTGATTGCAGTGGTGTTTACACCAAGTTACACATGTGATAAATTTCATAGAGCTATACACACACAAATAAGTGCATGAATTACTGGTGACATCTGAATAAGCTCTATGGTTTATTCTTTTAATATAGCACTATAGTTACTTCTGATCTTAACATTGGGGGATGATGGGTGAAGTGGGTACAAAACCTTCCTGTATATTGCTTTGCAACTTCCTGTGAATCTATAATAGAAATAAAAAGCTCAAAATAAGTAAAATCGTAAAGGAAAAGAAAAAAATGATATTAGAAAATCCTTGTGCTTGTGGAAATTAAGAAATAAGTTAATGAATAACCTATATAAAAGAATACATCCCAATGGAACATAGACAAATTTTGGACAACAATCATGAATATAAACACATCACAACATGTGGACACAACCAAAGCAATAATTGGAGGAGATAACGTTTGGTGGGAGGGAGTCTATTTTAAGTAGGATATTCTGTGAAGTATTCTTTGAGAAAGTGACATCTAACTGTGATAAGTTGAGAGAATGTGCTAAGGAATTTTAGGAACGAATTAGCCAGGAAGAGCTGACAAAGGTGCAAAGGTCCTAAAGCAGGAATGAGTTTAGAATGGCCCAGAAACAGTAATTGCAAATAATTATTAACTCTAGAATCAGTCCTAAGGCAAAAGCGTAAATTAACAACAAAAAGGTCTGTAGCGTTTCAGTTGACATTCATCAAAAACATTCTATCATCTGGGGCCTGATCTCTCCTGCCTGGAACCCTCAGACTGTTTTCATTACCATGGCAGGGTAGTTTTTTAACTTGGCTGTAGGGTAAAATGTAGATCCTTCATAGGTCTTGCCAGATTGCTGACTCATTTGAGGGCATGTGGAGGCTTGAAATCAGCCATGGTGAGTTGATTTATACCATGGAAATCAGCAAATACCACAAATCAAGGTTTTGTTTTTGTTTTTTTCTTGAGAGGTGGTTGATAAATATTTATAAGTGCACTAATACCAAAGGAAGATTCCTGAGAAGATAGGACATGAGTTGCATCATTGGATAGAATATAAGGCTACTAGAAGAGAGGATGAGAGAATTATAGACATGAATACTAAGCTGGGCTAGGTTATCAAAGCTGGAATGGGTTCCACTCAGAGAACAATGCATAGATAATTTGGTTCTGGAAATGGAGTTATGAAGAAGAACACAGAGTCATAAAAATGGAATGGTAGGTAAGGGAAAGTGTTAATTTCAGGTTGAAAAGTTC